GATAAGAATTAGAAGATCATTGTATCTAATAATTAATAAATTTCAACGCCTCGTAAAATATAGTACCAACATGTAATTCAAATTATGTTAGTGAAATTATTCAGAAGAGATATTAAATTTTCTAACATTTCAAACAGTCTTGCAGCAATTTCACTACATATACTGTTAGACGTAGCTGACTTTTATCACTGAGACTTTTCTTGCATCCAACAGTACAATTTTGTAAATGTAACGCTCGTTCCTCCTTTCCATGTTCTTCTTCTTCTTCTTCCTCTCTTTGTTCTTCCTTTTTGCGGATTAACTCGAGCAGGCAGAGTTCAACGAAGTTGAATTTACGATGTTTAATTGTAAGTAGTTTTCGGTTGAAAAAGCGATGGATTTTAACTTGGAAACATGATACCTTTCTTCTGCGGAAAACTAGCTTCGCAAGTTAATTTAACTTTTTGATTCGTAAATGAACTTGGCCGAGATGTAAGTTACGCGGTATAGATATTTTCGAATTGGATAATATGCGGAACTTCGAAACTAATTTCAATTGTTGAAATTTATTCAAAAATATACGTAAATAGTGTGTCATTTATAAATGTAGTATCTGCAGAATATCTAAATTCTTCAAGATTCAAAATTGTTCAAAATTGCGAAAGACAGAGATTAATTAACAATAGTTGGGATCAATTAATCTAATTGAAACTTAGAGATCTAAAAATTCCTTATCGTTGATAAAATGTCACGTTAACGCAGTTCTACTTACAATTAGAGAAGTGTGCTGGATTGAGACAAATCCTGAATAGAATAGCACTTGTAATACTTCATATAGACGTAACGAGAAATAGATTCTACTACTTATTCCTCTTACCAATTACTAACAAAATTTATCTTTATCGAAACAGTAGACTCTGTAATGGCATCTATGTTTGCAGAGCATAGGGCACGTTTGCCTGTTGGCCTACTATAACAGAAAACTTTGCTCGTAAAATAATGTCCGCGTATGTATATAGACACCGTCATGCCTCTATTCTCTCGGTTATGTCCGCAAAGAGGCATAGAAACCCCGGAGCGATTCGTTCTGCGGATGAACATGTTTGCAGATCAGTTGGTCTACCGAAACTATCGTAGACCATCCGTCTGGTTTTGAAGTTTCTCTATTTGGTTCTCGCTTTCGCCGATGTCTGTTTCAGAACGATTAGATCTATTTAAGCACGTCCCGACGCCTCTGCTTTTCGCTTCCATTTCGTATATATATATGTATATATATATTCGCTACTTTTCCTTCGCATTTGCAAGACGAAGAATTAATGAAGTAGCATTTAGCTACATTTTTAGCACGTTGGGTTTATCTTTTCTGGGTTAAATAAAATTTTATAGTCTAGTCCAGGATATATGAATTTTATTATTTGTCAATTATGATTCACTTTGTGTCTCTTGTCAATTACAGTTCACTTTTGTTGAATTATTCTTGAAACTTCTTTTTAGAAGAATAGTGCAGATAGTTATTAGATTGCAGATTTTGAGACTGCATTTACAAGAACTTTAAAGGTGTAAAAATTGCAGAGAATATCAGTTAGTGAAGAAAACAGTTTTCTACATGGATTACTTTTCTTTCGAGATACATTTACAAAAATCTCTGATTAGTAAAATTTTTTACATTTCTCGCATTTCTTTAAAAAGACAAGGAATATTCTAATGACGACTCTGATTTTTAAAAACAATCAATCAATGTTTCAGTGTTATAAAAAAGTAATATTACCGATGACATCTTTTGAAACTTCAATACCCTTTAAATTTTTGAACGACAAAAATATAATAATGATATTTCCCTCAACTATTATATACTAGAACGTACTATTAAAATAAATTATAAATATATATATTATAATTTATAATACTAAAAATTATATAAAATACTGCCTGACGATTAATGGAAAGAATAATTCGAGGATGCGCGAACGACAACCTTGGTTATTCGCGGAGTCCGATATCTCGATAAACGAGCCCCGTGACATTAGCGACGCCCCGATAGGAAACTGCAATTTTATGATAATCGACGCGCGGCCGTAAATTGTCGTGTTTATAGCATTAACGGGGATTTTGTTTCGTTTCAGGTGGCCTGGATGCTTTTCGACAAGAGCGCTATCCTGACAGTACAAAGTCACGTTATTACCAGGAACCCGAGGATATCCGTGACGCACGATAAGCACAGGACCTGGTTCCTACATATCAAAGATGTGCGGGAGGACGACAAGGGAAAGTACATGTGTCAGATTAATACGGCGACCGCGAAAACACAGTATGGCTATTTGCACGTCGTAGGTAAGTGCCTGTAAAATATCGGGCGAATCGTTTCTGCTAGGGAATTTAGAAGTGGAAAGTCACGCTTGGGGATATTTTCGTGTTTCTATAAGCAGAGTCATGCTCTGTAATTACGATGATTATTTAGAATTTAGGACGCGCAACATTGATTATACTCTACTGGCAAAATCGTTCGTGACACGAGGAGTGACATTTTTATAAATAAATTATTACGTGTAAAATTTAATAATGATGTTCGTTTGCATATGTATTGCATTGAATTTTTAAATAACAATCGCCTTTTGAAATTACGATGATTATTTAGAGAAGAGTGTACGACATTGATTGTTTTACTAGCAGAATCTCTCGTCCATGGTAGAAAATTATCTAAGTTAGAAGTGACATTTTCGCGATTCTTTTATGAATAAAGTATCATATTATATATTAAAAATAATAGTACTTGCATATACACGTGCTCGACACTTGCAACGATCACGATTTGAAATTACGATAATTATTTACCTCAACGTGGTACCAAGTATACTTCTGAGATATTTGCAGAAAAATTCGATTAAATTTAAATTTATTCCGAGGATGATGAGCAGTTTTAATAGAAATAAGAAAAAAAATAATAATGTCGAATCATACACAACATATCCGAAAATCATCGAACTGGATAAATTTTACCCTCATTCTAAATGGTTATCAAAATTATTACTGTCACTTTCACTTATCATATTTGTACATTTAAATTTGTTAATTACATTTTTTACTGTTATTGTCATTGCTTCATTTTGAAAATAAATCGAGCACGCTCCATTCCACTCGAGTTTGTTTGCTTTACGTTCTGCTATACAGTTACAAATTGGTACTTGTTCACCCGCAATCTCACTTCCGATCGTTTACACTGTAATATTCACGTGAACCATTACAATTGTTAATCACACCTTCACTACGTATGCTTTTTCAAATACATTTATACGTGTGCAATTTATATGCGTGCATATGTTCTCATATGTAAATTGAATTGCACTTGGAAACGAAACGCGTAATTCCGTGACAAACGGAAATTACACGACGTTTGCGTTCAGCGAAACAATGAAAGGTTTAACAAAATTTCCGAGATCTCGAGTGAAAAGAGTTAAACGCTCGGAGAACTGTTAGAAACAGAGCTTTAATTATATGTTCGGGTGAGTTAGATAGTACGTCTGCAAGCTTGTTTGCGGTGAGCTGCTCTGACACATCGGATGCTTTTGGTAACCTAATTCCGCGAGTGATTAGCGGATAAAAAAAGCGGTTAATTTATAGTCGGTGTATGTCACGTGTCACGTTCTTTACGAAGTTAAGCCCCGGGTTCAGTTTAAAGCCAATTTAACTCTCCAGATTAAACGAACATTCATGCCCTTTATCAATTAATTGCCGCGGTAATAATAACGTCTTGTTGTACGATTTCACGTTCGTTGTGTTTGTATCTTTTTGAAATTAGTTGGAAAAACAGGTTAAAGAATATCTTTCTCTTTTGCGAAACGTAAGAACAACGTCTGATTACACTTTTCATCGTTTTATTATTACACTTGTTCGCGAAAGTATTCAAAGATTTATAAACGCTCCATCAATATGAATATATTGAAAAGTCTCCTTTATCGGAACTTTTGTTTCATAACTATACTACCGCAATAAGTGATGATTTTCAGCTACTAGCAGACGATCTTACTGGTTTTTAAGATAATTGAAAAATGATAGTTCCCATAAAAGTGATTCCGCTGTACATAGAACATTTTAACACCGACCAGGCGATCATCTCGGTTTTGTCGGTCAAGTTAGAGAAAGCGATGTTCTCGCGTTCCGACGATCGAGAGGAACAAGCGGCTATACATAATAGAATCCCAGGGATTGAAAGAGAGAAAGTATAGTCCAGGCCTTGGTGAAGGGACAGAGGAACGATAATTTAATCAGCGGAGAAGGGTATCCGCGAGGTCGAAGGATGAGTCGGGGCGAGCCGGTCTCCTCGTTCTCTGCCATCCGGCAGAACATATTAATATCTCGAGTTTTGACGTCTGAAGTCGTCGGGCGGAGCGGAAGCTCAGCCGTTCGCCAGGATGGAAGGAAGGGGACGGTGGATGTTTCAGTAGTCGGTGGAGTAATCAGAGGGCTAGATTAATTGTTTCCACGGGACTCTTGGCCCGGCGTAGCACAAATACACGGAAGACTTCGAAACGGTACTTCGTGATAATGCCGACGGAACAGACACAATGCAAGCCCTGCCATAACTCAGCCCCTCCACTCGCTCTCTCTCTCTCTCTCTCTCTCTCTCACACTCACTCTTGGATCTGGCTACGCAAGGAAATTTGGAAACGTATGTAACATGTGTAAATATTCCATACGGACCGAGTCACTTAAAGTTACCACCTGAGGCGTTTACCTTGCTGCCTGAGCTAATAAACGGTTTTCACAAGTTTGACGATTTCGACGGCTCCTCTCTCTCTCTCTCTCTCTCTCTCTCGCTCCATGCTTGAATTCACGTGTAAATTATCCGGGAATCGTAATCGCGCTGCGTTTCAATTGTTGCCGCGCTGTTTACCCGACGTTGGAGCACGTTTCTCGCACGCCACAGCGTCGAACACTGCTTCCGAGGAGTGGCCCTGAAACATTCGATTTCGACGGAATAGATTTCGACAGCCGAGCCACGCGGGCGAATAGCCCAGCTTGTTTGGCCGCCGGGTTTCAAGAGATTCGTTTCTTTGTGAATTTCGTTTTCGTTTCGTTAGGAACGAGCGTGGCTTCGTTCGAGGAATCAAGGAGATTCGTGTCGATCAAACGAAAGACAGGAATTACATAGGGACGTTGATTCCCTAATTGCGAGAATGTGCGGGATACGGAAGTTTTTGTACGTGAGAGATTGTTACAAGAGGGTTCAAGATGACGTTAAGTATAAGTTTGGATGAACTTGTCGTTTCGATGGTCAGTTTTACGTGTTTTAACGCGAGGATGATTTGTTAGTACGTAAATCGTAGTTGTTACATGTTGAATATTATGTCAATGTTATAAAAATTTATACTGCTCAAAAATTTACTAGATTGATTTAGAAGTTTTCGTGTGATTTAGAAGATCATTAAGGCCAAAGGAAAGATTCAAAAAGGTATAAATTCGATGGTTTTAACATGGGGAAGATTTGTTGAAAAAGTCATTTCACAAAAGTGAAAAGTAGATTTCAAATTGAATATTAATATAACGATATATATAGCATATGACAATGTTACAGAAAAGAGAAATCCCACTTATGGAACTTCTTTCGTATTTGACAGTCATTTCACTTCACTTCGTCTCATTTCATTTCTTATTCACGAGTAATAAAACCTTTGGGTGCGCAGAATTAGACAGTTATTGCCTCAAATTCGTTACAATAAATCTTCAACGAGCGAGCGCGCGAAGAGAGTTACTAAAATTGTTACAAGACCGACAGAAATGGCCCGAATTAACGGCAAAGGCAATTATCTAAGTAAAACGTAGTTCCTGCACGTAACACGTACGCTCTATAGAGAGAGACAAAGAGAGAGAGAGAAAAGCTGAAACGATTCCGCTCGGTACATCCAAGTTTCATCGTGTTATCCTGCCGAACGATACACTGCGAACGTGTGTACTGGCCAATCAATTTTCCGTCGTAGCGACACCCCATGAAAGATTCCTCTTGGAACGTGGCACGCCTAACACGTCGTCGGCATCCAGCTCCGGCCATTGAATTCCGCGATGATCCATGAATCGAAGATAACGATAACTCGATGATCGCTCCGTTTTATCCGATATCGTATACACACCGTATCTCTCGATCGGAGATCGTTCCTCCGTTTCGCTTCGACGCTGCTTCGTCCTTTTTTCTCCTTCTCCTTCTCTCTCTCTCTCTCTGTCTTTTTTTTTTCTTTCGCTCTCTGTCCTCCCGTAAATAAGGCGGAAGCCGGGGTCTATCTGACTTTTATTCGATTTGGAGGCGAGTCGGCGAGCTTAACCAGGAAAGAAGCTCGAGTGGAGCGTACGCTGCAGAACGTGACGCGCCGAGCTTTCCACGTTTTCTCGTGTATTTTTCGACGTTCCCGTTTCTCTGGTCCCCTTGGCCCTGAAATCTATCGCAGAGAGAAAGAGAGAGTCGGATAATTGATTTTTTTTTTTTTTTGCAATCACTTCTGTGATCGATCATTAGACTGCGGATATTTACGCAAATTCATATCTTGATTAAAAGTTAATTTATTAACGGATCGCTGAATTTCGGAAAACTATGCACGTCGAGAAAGAAAGTACGTTGTTTTATCAAGTGAATATGAAAATTTATTTTTTCACACATAACAAGAAATTGTATATTTAAAATACGACTAAGTAATGTTTGCACAATGCACGTGTGTTACGGAAATGGAATTCAATTTTATTCACTGAATACAGCAAACACTGTAGTTTCCATTCCGTGGATTTTCGTAGTTTCAAATTTCTCACAAATTCAGCGACGCGCGGTTATATGGTTGATCACTGATCATTTGATATTTATTTAATCACGATAGCTGCCTGATTTCACGTCGAGCGTAATCTTCAACAA